GGGCTTTGAAATCTGGGCCTGAGCACTATCCATCAGCTCAAGGTGAGCACTCTATCACTTGAGCCACAGCACCACTAATGCATTATAATTTTGGATGTGCACAAAGACTTTACCAAAATTCCTTTAATAAAAAAGAAATAGTGGGTTGTATTTTACTTTCACAGATTTTTTTTGTGAGATTGCATTAACACATAATCTTTATCATAGGCAATCTTTTAAATTTTAAATTCTAATAGAGTGAACATTTTGAATTTGTTTATACTAATTACAGCATTATTTCTGATATGCCCTGGTGTATTGGATACATTAGTCTGAAGTAGAAAATGTACTAAATTTCTTGATTCCCTACTTATCCATTTTGAAAACTGAAGTATCTTGCTTAGCCTTACACTTATAAAATAGAAATATTAATATTATAGATTTCACATTATTATTATGCTAGTGAAATGATTAGACTCTATGTAGAGTTTTCCTCACTGACCATCACTAGTAGGCCTGCTGAATAAGAGTCACTTAGATTGTTTGACAAGAAATGTACTCATTATCTTACTTACATAACTATAACGCTTCAGTATATCACCTTTACAATAAAATTAAATTAAACAAAAATATTCATTTTGTTTTATAATATGGCTTCTGCTGTTATACTACCTCTTTGTCGTGTGGCCACCAAGACAGCCTGTTCTGAAAAATGATGTAAGAATGTTAATCATGACTAACAGCACAAAGGGAATTTGCCACAATATATAATCTAACTTAATTGAGTCTATAATCTTAATGTCTAAATTCCCATATTACAAAATGGGAGCTCTGCTTTCTAATCATCTGTGAGATCAGGCTTTCAGAATTATCATTTTTCTGGCTTCCTTATTCTTCTTGCTCTGGCATTTGGAAAAAAAAAAAAAAAAACAAGACCCATTCTGGTTTCTAAATTGAGATTTCCAGATACCTAAGGACATACAAAGAATCTCTGAAAATAATGGAACAATTCTGAAACACAGATCTTATAAAAAAAGAGGAAAAAGTAAATTAACTAAACATAAATACACATAAAATAAGCAACTGCAGAAAATAATGTTTGCCTGACTGAAGCATTTAGAAATAAGCCATATCATGAAAACAGTTTTAATCTGTTTCTTTGGATGAGTTTCCCAATCTGTGAATAAAGAATTAAACTCCTAAACATTGACATCAGAAATTGTTTAATTTGAGACCCAGCAGGAAACTTACACATTGAAAATTAGAAATGGATAGTTGATTTTTTCTTTTTTTACCAAATGAACTACATTAGCCAGTTGTTTTCATTAATTGGTAAGTTTTAATTTCAAAAGAGTAACCTCTCAAAGCTATGGACTGAACATTTGCAAAATGACATGATTCCTTGTAATTCTCATTTGGAGTAAACTGATTTGAATAAATGTGTGTCCCTTGAATTCTCTGTTTTTATTTTCTATATTTATATTCATTGCTACATATATTATTTCCAACAGAACAAGTACAGTTTCTCGTGCACAATTGCATGAGCATGTTTTAATCTTCCCTTTGAATTCTAAAGACATTAGTGAGATAGTTCATCAGTATTTGTGTCTATTCTTTAAAATACTACATCATTAATATTTAATTACATGTACATTCACAATGTAGATAATTTTGTGTTGTGACTGAGAAACAAGTTTCCTATTGATGTAGTTAATTTCATTTTTAAAGATAAAATGTAATGTTGGATATATTTATACTACATGAAGTGTTTTTATTCAGCATTTAAAAATAGAACATATAGGCCAGGCACTGGTGGCTCATGCTTGTAATCCCAGCTACTCAGGAGGCTGAGATCTGAGGATTGTGGTTCAAAGCCAACTGGGGAAAGGGAAGTCTGTGAGACTCTTATCTCCAGTTAACCACCAGAAAACTGGAAGTGGCAGGGGAGGTATAAATTCTAATGAAACAAGGAGAAATGTTTGAAATAGAATCCCTATGCTAACTTTAATCAAGGTCAAGACCCTGAGACTTTTGTAAAATATAATATGTTTGTATGTTTTTGTCCCTACAGGCAAGTTTTGTTGTATTAATTTGATATGATTCAAAGCTGGACAGAGGAATAATGATTCTAAGAAGTTTGAAGATAAGAAGCTACAAAATAATTGTACTAATGTTAGGAAGTGAATTAAACTTTAGGGCAAAACAATGGCATGAAAGTCTAACAGAGAGGTAGGCCAATAGTTAACTTAGAGAAATACATATTATACTTTGTTATTACTTTCTTGGAAAGTATTCAACTACATTCAACTACTATACCTTTATTTATATTTTTTTCAATCCCTCACATTAAATAGTGCATTAAATAATCATTATTATCCTGAAAATACATTTTGTTTCTAAAATTATCTAGTCTAATAAACTGATTCTAGCACTTTAACACAAACATGTTAAAATTATTCTTATGATTGCATTTTCATTCATCTAAATCACTAAACATAGTATGCAGTCCAGTAAATTTTGACTAATTCCTTGAGGTCATCTACTCTTGTCTTTCTTTCTGAACCACTGCAATAGCGAGGAGAGTTAGTCACTTCTAATAGAATGCAATCTATTTCCATGGATTGATTTTCCCTATGCTGTTGTGAAATGATTTCTTAAACACTATGCTCATTATCTCCTTATATATAACTGCAATTATTGCAAATGTACAGAATGTTAATTCACCAAATGTTTGCAATGATTTTCTATTGTCTATAAAATAAAGTCTCAAACAAATATATTATTTACTGATATGGTTAGGTCCACATTCACCCTCTGTAAGCTAGAAACAAGTAAAAAAATGCTATTACAGAATAGGAAGTGGACAGAAGGATAGTGGAGGGAGGGTAGTTGGGGAATCTACATACAAGCATTTTTATATGCATATGAGAAAATATTCAAATGAAATCTACTGATTTGTACAGTTATTATACACAATAAAAAGTCTAACGAACATCTAACTTGCCATCTGGTAACTTGATCTATCTTAAGAGTGTCTTGTGTTCTCTATTACCAAGGAGTTCTTGGCCCTTAACACCTATCGAAAGAATTTATTAAGCTAAGAAGCAGAAAAGCATTGTTATCTCCACTTGACATAAATTTATATCTTCTGTTTCAAAAGTTCCCATGATGAGGTGTCTGAGAAATGGCTCATGCCATTGTCACGATAATCACAGTTCAAATACAGCCCCAGAAGACAAATCTGTGAGGCTCTGACCTTCAATTAATCAGTAAAATGCCAAAACAAGAGGCATGAAGCAAGGGTAGTCTAAAAACTGTGGTCATAAAAGGTCTCCTTAAATCAGAAGACTCTGAATTCTAGTCTTCCACCTGGCAGGGGAACAAAAATGGAAAGAGTGTTTCACAAATTATAAATTAATTCCAAATATAGAGAATGTGTGGATTGACACTTCACGTCATAGGATTTAAATTGGGAATGGATAAAGAAATAGAAGAAGAAAAATTGGATATTTTAGAATCCAAGTATGGTAATCACTGCTATAGCAGTCCTATGTAAGAATTATTATTTTAAATCTTCTAATAATTTCATTGTAAGAATGCACTTAATACTATTACAAAGCTCTTTTTATCTCTCAAATACCTTCATATTCTCTCTGAATTTTTAAGAGTATTAAGGCTTTATTATCACTATAATTAAATCTACTGAAAAAAGTATTTTCTCTCTTTTTTTTTTGCAAATTTTTGATTATTCATAGTGATAGCAAAAAGCCTTAGTATGGATTACTAAAACCTGGAGATCATTATAACATGTAAAAATTAGCTCTGACACATTATTTCTACCAGAAATTTCTATCAAGCTTCAGCATTGCATTATTACTTGAATAAATACTCTTTGTTATATTTACTGAATATTGAAAATAGAAAAAAAGAAGTTGAGTAGCTATGTGTAAAATAAGACCTAAAAAGTATTCATACCATTACTTTAGTATAATTGGTCCAGAAAGAGCAATAAAGGTTCTGAAGTATGGTTGAACAGAAAGAAGCATATGAATCCCTGGAAATCAAAGAATAAAAAGACTTGCTTTATGAGCTCTTAGTTTATCTGATCACCAATTTCATAAGTTTGTTAACAAATCATCAGCAAAGACACTGTCTATATTATCCTAAATAACTGAGGTTCGATCTCTTAGCATGCCAATCATCATACCCACTATGATCAAACATGATGATGTATCCTGAGTGTAAAATGATCAAATAAGACATAAATTCCACTTTTAACAATCATTAATTTATACACTACATTACTATTGTTGATATCAGAAGAAATAAATCCTTAAAAACTTCCTTAACTTGTAATGGTTTGAATTCAACATGTCAGTTTGTGAATACACAACATCTTGACTAATGTCACTTATTTCAGAATTTGTTATTTTATAAGACTATCAAAGGAAAAAAAATTTAATCCAATAAGTGTAATGTGAAACAAATGCTTAAAATCTGATATTTCCTGAAATTAATTTCATATAGATGATGTATTAGCAAACTTACACATTCTCTCTGGCTAAACAGAATCTGAAAATTTTTTGTCCTCTATTAATTAATTAAATTTAGTAGCTTTATGTGGCATAACATTTCAGGATTATATAGGATAATTTGAATTTCTTCAACAGAGTTGCACTAATAATAAAATGAAAATTGTATTCAAAGCACAGCTTCTTCTTCAAACACATATAAATATTTGCCTTCTATAAAAATAATTTCTTATAAGCTCCTGTAGCATAAAAATCATTAACATATGTACATTCCATACATGTTTAATTTGAATACTTTAAATAAATATTTGATTGTCTGAATGAATAGTCTGGCATTTATGATCCAGAAGCTTATGTAAAACTCTTGAAATTGATGCAAAGACTGTGTTCTCTGTAATCTGTGTATCCTAGCCAAGCTAATCCATTATTCACAAAGCAAACACTGCATCTGTTCCTAGCAAAAGCTTAGTCTCTTATTTCTTTTGACAGTGTGCAGACCTGGGTTCTTCAAAGCCTCACCTCACAGCCAGAGCTGCAGCCAATGTCCACCTCACAGTTACACCCATGAGGAAGCTTCAACCTCTTGTGTCTGTGAAAAGGATTATTTCAGGAGGGAGTCTGACCCGCCCACAATGGCATGCACAAGTAAGAAAACCCATGGGTATTTGGTGATGCTAACTTTCACCAGTCTGAAGAAACAGTATGATGGAGCCTGTTACCATTCTCTTAACATTTCCCCCTAAAACAGGCATCTGTGTAGTCTTCTCAATATAGTTACTCAAGTTCAATCTTCTTTAAGACACACTGAACATTTTGTCATTTTTATCACTCACGATTACAAGCCTCATCCTTTTCTCTATACTTGAAGCTCAACTTTTGAGAAACAGATACATAATTGCCCCCACTATTTTGTGGTTTACATTAGTGATCTTGACAACCTAATAAGACTTCAGCATGTCTGCTTTCCTTGTCAAACCTGTTTCCTTCTTTCTAAGACATTAAAAAAAATCTAATCATATAGTTATGCACTAAATGACACCTTTACTTAGTTAAAACATTCCACTAAAGCTGTAGCCCATTTTGAAAGCAATTGACAAGTCAGAAAACAAATAAAAAGCATGCATTACTATGGGTGCAAAATCAGATTTGAATCAGCTCTAAGTTTTCAGTGATTCTTCTTAGAAACGTGTCTCTAGTATACAGATATATTTGCTGGAACATTGTTATTATGCATTTATTTCATGTATCTGTAGTGGACAAATATATCAGTGCTTTGATTGAATTTCCATGTATTTCTGGAAATCATATTTATGCATTTGTTTGCTTGGTGACAATACTTTCAGGGGTTTCCAAAAGCTACGTCCCAATAGCCAATGAAAGAAGATACAAGTAAAAGCTCAAACACATGCCTTTCTGTAACATTCAAGGTCTATAACCAACCTGACAGTCTGCTGGGTCCTTGTACGTTGTCACTCTTCTCTTTTAGGCTCACAAAGATATCTGAATGTCACTATTAATTTCTAAGCATATGTAGTACAGATTTCTTCTTGTCTAATAATCACACATTGAATTTGCCAGCATTCTATAGTGTCTGGGTTCTATAGTCAGTAAAACATGTTTTCAGAATTCCTCAAATAATTGTTATTATTTAACAAACATTTTTGAAAATTTTTTTCCTCCTGTATGATTACTAGAAGTGAACATTTTCTCCACAAAAGACTAAATTACATTAGTTTACATAGTTTTGGGAAGAGATCTTTGATTGAAAGTGACTTTATTTATTTATTTACTTATTTATTTTGCAGTGGAGATTTAAGTAATTATTTTTGTTAGTGTCAACAAAAGTATGCCCAGTGATGTTGAAAATGCAGGCCAGAAAATAGAATGATAATGAAGGAGGAGGGGAAAGTATACTAAATTATCTTTTAAAATTTTATTAATTTCCTAATTAGTGGTTTTCTTAAGTGGGCCAGGCATTATCTGCCTTGTTTGGGGCATAAATATATGTCTCCCTTTCTATATATTGATTATGTTTGGGAATTGGGGAGAGGCTGTGCTTTGGTGGCAAGGACTGCTTAGTAAATCTTTCAAGACCAAAGCCCATAAGCATAGGCTTTGCACTTCTCTGTCTTCAGGCATGTAATCTTACTAGCACTATTTCCTATGCATCAGAAATGCCCATTAGGAAAGTGTGTCCATTGTAGCTGCCTCCACAGAACCACAAATAATGTATATGATCCACTGGTGGCTTTATTTATTCCAGATGAATATCTTGAACTTTGTCTTTCATTCTTAGGATTGCATTTATGGTTCTACTCCTTTACTTATTCTAGAGTGTATACACACATATAAAATATGGAGATGGCCGGGCGCTGGTGGCTCACGCCTGTAATCCTAGCTACTCAGGAGGCTGAGATCTGAGGATCGCGGTTCAAAGTCAGCCCGGGCAGGAGAGACCGTGAGACTCCTATCTCCAATAAACCACCAGAAAACCGGAAATGGCGCTGTAGCTCAAGTGGTAGAGCGCTCGCCTTGAGCTGAAGAGCTGAGGGACAGCGCCCAGGCCCAGAGTTCAAGCCCCACGACTGACAAAAAATAAATAAATAAATAAAATAAAATATGGAGAATAAAGCTTTGTAAACCTATAAGAATAAAAACAAACAAAATTATGGATCTAATTAAACCAAGGATCTAACTAACAGCCTACATTAGTTCACATATAATGTCTACTAATAGAGCAGCGAGATTTCTTAGGTGTATAACTTGGGGGTTTTACATTTTACATCTAGAGATTCAATATGAGTTTCTTAACCTAGAAGGCACATGTGCTCCTTTTAAACATTGAAGAGGTTTTAGTAGCAGAGTCAAAAGAAAAGAGCCAGACTGATTACTTTTTATACATTTCTGCTCTTGGAAAAAAAAAAACCTAGAAAGTAACCGTCTTTCTAAAGTAGATAGTTTCATATATTTTATTCTTTTATCACAATGTTAGCATGTAATATTCCGATCATACTAAATTTTCCTAAATTTTTGTTATTAAATAAAGATTAGTCACTCATTAGTTATGTGGTTCTTTAATATAAATGCATTTTTATATCTAAATCCTTAAAAAATAATTAACTCAACACTATTAAATTTAATCTTAGCAGTCATGACTTAATAAACAATAGATACAAATTAATGCTCTTTTTATTTAGCACAAACAACACACGAAACTAGATAATTTTAAGAAGTTTAATTCATGATTATAAACCATTCAAATACTTCCAGACCCCATTTTATTCATGTAGAGAGAGATACTAAGTCTCTGAAGTAAATATAAATTTATTTTGTTCTTTGAAAACATCAAATTTATGTAATATTTACAACTGACTGAGATGTTTAACTCTAAATATCTTAAAATCCACTTTAGATGTAACTATCAGACAATCAAATTTAGCTCTGTTTAGTAGGTTAGTTTTATGTTTGGAAACAGTTAAAATTATGTTCAAATGGGAAATAGCTTCTTTTTAGCTGAGAAATTTTTGTTCATGACTAAACTTTAAATGGAAATATTCAATTTTATTGAAATAGGTTTTCTTAGTTTCAAATATATTTTCAAATTGCATCTAATTTCGATTGGCAGTCAGATAAAAATAACATGCCTAACAAACATATACTGATGTTAGGAAGGTTACATTAGTATGAATCTAAGATGTTAGGATACAATGGAAAAATTTTAGTTAAATATACTTCTTTTCATTCCTTAATGGATGATGGAAGACCGAAATGCTTGTATTAGTCATTCATCATACGAATTTTTTCATTCTTCCTTTGTAGTGTCTTCAATGGATAGACTTAAAGTTTTAGACTTTCAATTAAACAAAATTCAAACTTGCAGAGTGTAATATAAGTTTTATTCTAGATTGTGATGTTGATCAACTGCTGAAATTGCATTGCTTTCTTGATCTAGAAGAGAGTTTCAAGTGATTTTTCAAGTAGTTATATAATTTAATTTGAAGTAAACTAGGGCCATCTTTTGCTACAGATACTGTTTTTTAAGAGGCACTCGGAAAATTTCATTTTTTTCTGTGCTTATTTCTTAATAGATACTTTATGTTTAATGCCAATGATGAATGAGGAAATAATTTGCTCAATCCCCAAGGAGATTCACTTATCACTTTTAAACATAAAAGGGTTCTAGATTTGTTTTCTCACACATAGTTTTATCCCTTAATTTTATATATACATTGAGGTAGCTTCCGATTAGTGCCCCAATAAATCATTTCTTTAGGGCACAGATTTTACTATTGTCCCTATTAAACATTAATATGATTTGTTACAAATTAGACTTTAACTTAAAAAAAAATGAACTGCAAATCGATTTTTTTTTCTTCAGACCAGGGATTAGTGTGGAAAATGATACCTGAATAATATTATCTTAAAATATGTTTTTTTCACTTTACTTTGCTAACCAGGACCCCCCTCAGCTCCTCGGAATGCCATCTCAAATGTTAATGAAACTAGTGTCTTTCTGGAATGGATTCCGCCTGCTGACACTGGTGGAAGGAAAGATGTGTCATATTATATTGCATGCAAGAAGTGCAACTCCCATGCAGGTGTATGTGAGGAGTGTGGCGAACATGTCAGGTACCTCCCCCGGCAAATCGGCCTGAAAAACACCTCTGTCATGATGGTGGATCTGCTCGCTCACACAAACTATACGTTTGAGATTGAGGCAGTGAATGGAGTGTCCGACTTGAGCCCTGGCACCCGGCAGTATGTGTCTGTAAATGTAACCACAAACCAAGCAGGTAAGTGTGATGCCCAACTAAGTTGCCAATTTGAGCCCCACTCTAATGAGCTATTGCCTGCAGAGGCTCTCTATCCTACAGGTCAGCACTGGAAGGATAAGATATCTTGAAAATGCTTTTCTTGTTGAAACACGTAAAAGTTAAGGTTTTCTTAGCAGGGAGAAGGGACATGTGTAATATTTTTTTACATTAAAACTAAATTTCTAGCCGGGACTCAATGATTCACGCCTGTAATCCCACCTTCTCAGGAGGATGAGATCAGAGGACTGTGGTTCAAAGCCTGCCCAGGCAGAAAAGTCCCCGAGGCTTTTACCTAGAATTAACAACGATAAAGATGGACGTGGAGCTGTGACTCCAATGATAGTATGCTAGCCTTGAGAACAAGTCAAGGGCAGTGCCCAGGCATGAGTTCAAACCCCCAATACCAGCAAAACTTAAGGAAATAAGGAAATAAACGAAAATCAATAAAATAAAATAAAACTTTCCTAAATACAATTCATCTATCTGTAGCAAAAAAAATGATGTCATAATTTCACACAATTCATCTGAAATCTGTAAGTTTGTTTAATTTCTTTCAAGTTTCATTGTTTAGCTTCATTTATTTAGCATGAGATTCATGTATATAGGCAGGCTTAATTTGCTTATTTGTTTACCACCTCAGCTGAATTTTCTTTGCAAATTATAATAGCCTTTTCTTGTTTTGATGATTTTTATTACAATAAAATGTATAAAATGAAATGTTCCTTGTTAAATCCATCAAAAATTACAATCACTAATTTAACAAAAGTGGAATGATCATGAAATATTCTTCAGCCACATGGAAACATACCCATGTTCCATGAGGAGATCTTGGAATTACTCAGAAAGGATTTTTAGAGCATAGGAATATAATCCTGTTTGATATAGTATTTTCCCTTGTTTTTCCACAAGTACTTCCTTTTTAGGCAAATCCAAATTACAGATTTCTTTTCTAGTAAAATAAATATCAAAGATAAGCCATGACTGCTTTTTGATCATTCAAAAAAGTAGAAGGCAAGACTTACTCCAAACTTAACATGCACATTATAATATATTTTTATTCAACAACCAAGAAGCTTGAGGGAATGATTTACCATATTACCTGGTTGCAATCCTTAGATCAAGGGTACAATAAACTTAAACTGGTTACTCCATTGATATTTTGTTGGGCTTTGGTCACTGAGCACATCCTTGCCACCAGTACTCACAGTGAAAGATGTGTTTGGACTTGTTTATATAAGATTTGAATTCTGGGGTTGATGAAGGAATGCTAAAAGTCATGAACGCCAACAATCATATATCAAGTAAACCATGTGATTATGTCTTTAAATATATATATATATAGCAAAAAACTGTACAGAGGGGTTACAGTTACATGAGTAAGGTAATGAGTACATTTTCTATAAAGTGTTATTACTTCCTCCTTTGTTTTTCCCCTACCATCCCTTCCCTGCCCCCGCACCTCCCCAACTCCTTCCCACAGCTGTAAAGTTCTTTTTCAATATAGTCTTGTACATTTCTTTGTTACAATGGGTCAATCTGTATCCTTATTTCAGCATTTTATTTCCCTTCCCCTCCCCAAATTAGAAAAATGTATATACAGATGAAGGGCACCAGAACCAAATACAGTAAAAAGAGGGGTACCATGGGTGAAGAACATACAAAAGAAACCAAAAAAATCATATAATACATTATAAATATATTAAAAACAACAGCAATAAAGATAAAACCACTTACATCCCTATATTGGGGTTCATTTTGCTTAACATCATTTTATATGGTCATATGTACATAGCTTTTGACCTTTTCTGCTTGTCCTATACATGTATTAGTTATTGCAAATAAGGGAAAGACTTGGAAAAAAGTCTGTTAAGTGATTATGTCTTTAAAATAGGCAAATACATGAAATTTTGCTCCAAATTGTTGTTTCTGACTGATGAAAGGAAACAATTAGGAAATGGTCAAATGAATAAAATAACCAAGCACTGCTCTATACTTATTCTGAATACTTTCTCTGCTCATATCTATATGTCTACAGACTTTTTCTACCAGAGAAAACAATGAATATATTTATATACCATCATCGTATATATTTATTTCCTCATGTACTCCTAATTTAATGGAAATGCCAATGAGCTCCACGGGAGTATAAAAGAAACTTTTTTTTTCTTGCAGTATAAACTAAAAGAAACAGTTGGACTCAATGTTAGCACACCTTTATATTCAGATTAAAATTGCATATTCATTGAATGAGAATTCTCATCCGATTTATGAGAAATACTAGCTTTACATGTTTGGTTTCAGGCTTCTTATCCAATATCATTCAGTCTTTATTGGTTCTACTATGAGTTTTAATTGTCATATTGAAAACATTGGTCACTAAGCATTGTGTTTCTCTGGGGAAAACTGATTAGGTTAGATAGATAGAAAGACATTTCCTGGATGGGCTAAATATAGAAGATTATACTGTTTTTTATTCATGTTTTCAATAAATAAGTACATACTTGAATGGTCTTCAACTTTCTAGGCTCTTCAAACATTAACATGTTTTACTTGGACCTTCAATATCTTAAATGCCAATGAAAATTTGTTCTCCTCCAGCTAGTAAAGGTAGAACTAAAATATAGAACAAACATTTGGAATCAGAGAAAATCATGTTGACTTTCAGTTGCTTTTATCCCAGGTTGTCATGGTATATTCTGTAAAATCCTTGTAAGCCTATCCAAAATAGCAAAATAAGATTTTTTTTCAGTATTGAATTCCAGATCAAATAAATCTCCATTTCCATAAAAAACTGTTGTCATCAAATAACACCTACAAATTCATAAATTTAATGTCATCATGGTTGAGCACAAAAAATGTATCACAGTACTTTCAAATATCTGCATTTTAAAGATAAAGTGAAATAAAAATATATATAGTATATGTGGTTTTTAAATAAAAATTGTTTTATCATATTTTCAGTTTACGTTTTAGTGCCTTAAAGCAAAGATTGTGTCCCAAAAAGATGTGTTTCCTTTCTTTAATAATTTATTTCAAATTTTTAATTGGCCTTTACATATGTTCTTGCATTTTCTGAATGATCTGCATTGTGTGTGTGTGTGTGTGTGTGTGTGTGTGTGTGTGTGTGTGTGTATATGATAGTAAAGCATAAATGAAGCAAAAAGATGCTAAAAGAAAAAAACAAGATGAAAATGTGGTTATCAGTTCAGGACGAAACATTTTTAGTATGTATTTTATTGTAAAAATACTGTACAGAGAGGTTACAGTTACGTGAGCAAGGTAATGAGTACATTTCCTATCAAGCTTTGTTACCTCCTCCTTTGTTTTTCCCCCACCCTCCCTTTCCTCCTACCTCCATAACTACACTCCCTCTCCTCCCACCCCTCCCCTCCAACTAAATTGTAAAGTTTGTTTTTCAACATAGTGTCTTGTACATCTCATTGTACAGGAAGACAAATTTGTATTAATATAGGAATTGAAAATTATTACCTAATCTTTTTTAATAATCTATAAAAAGCTAGTGATTAAATGATTAATGTATGGATATTTACACGGTATTTAAAACATTTTCTCAGCAATTATATCATTGTGGAGTTTAGCATCTTGCTCTTCAGGAATACAATCTAATTTCAAATGATACTATTTTGCATGTAATATGGTTCAGGCAAACTACACAGTTTTAAGCAAGTAGCATTAGTTGAAACTTAGGGTCCTTATAAATTGCAGTTTTACTACTGAGACTAATAGGAACAAATTTAAAGATTTTTGTGATTATTTTATTTGGAAAAGAAAAACATAGAAAATGAAAAATAACTAAAAAAAGAAACAAAAATGAAGGAGAAATTATTTAAAAATGCCAATATATAAATTATAAATTGAACTCTTAAATAATGGTCAAATTGAAAAGTAATAAGAAAAGTGAAGCCAGGCACTAAGGCTCACACCTGTAATCCTAGCTACTCAGGTGGCTGAGATCAGAGGATCACGGTTCAAAGCCAGCCGCGGAGACTCTTATCTCCAATTAACAACCAGAAAACTGGAAGTGGTGCTGTGGCTCAAGTGGTAGAGCACTAACCTTGAGCTGAAGAGCTCAGGGACAGCACCCAAACCCAGAGTTCAAGACCCAGGACCGCCAAATAATAATAATAATGATGATGATGATGATGATGATGATGATAATTTAACATGCACATGGTGCATTTTTTAAACACTTAAGCTTAGAATAGAAAAATAATTAGTGGAGGGCCATATATTTTCTATCGTCTATATCTATTTTATATATTCTTCAGTTTTTTTAATCAGTTGTCTATTTCCAGAAGTAAATTTAGATTTACTCAAAATATTCTGTTCTATATGATTCCTTTAATGAATCTAAAATACATATCTTCAGATAGATACATGCACAAATAGAGATGCATATGCACTGTGAAAATCCTATTGATATTAATTGCTTCAAAAAGTTTGACTATGGGGCTTGCAATGTGGTTTGGTGGTAGAGTACTTACTTGCCTAGCATGCATGATACTTTGGGTTTGATTCCTCAGTTCCACATAAACAGAAAAAGCAGGAAGTGGTGCTGTGGCAGAAATGGTAGACTGCCAACCTTGAGCAAAAGAAGTTCAGGGACAGTGCCTGGGCCCTGAATTCAAGCCCCAAGACTGACCAAAAAAAAAAAAAAAGTTTCACTATGTAAAATAATAAGAAGTTTCACTAGCTGGGTACCAGTGGTCAGATGCCTTAATCCTAACTGCTTAAAACCCTGACATCCTGGGGATTAAGTGAGATCCCATCTACAAAGTAATAAAAATCAGGGTTGGAGGCATAGCTCAAATGTTAGAGTATCAGTCTTCTAAGAAACCTACTCACCTCTGAATACAAACCTTGATACTAGAAAATCACTCTTTCTTACTAAATGCTAATCATTTATAATATTCTTCTGTAACCAGATTTTAATTCCTGTTTAAAATATTTTTCATGAG